AGCCCAGGGAAACGATCAGGGTTTTGTTAATGAGTTGGATCCTGATGGCGTGAGGGAAAGGCAGGGCAAAACCCTTAGGCGAAGAACTTACCACAACCCAGGTCCCAATTATGCTTGGCATGTTGATGGCTATGACAAACTTAAGCCATATGGCTTCCCAGTGCATGGATGCATAGATGGATATGGCCGAAAAGTTTTATGGCTTAAAGTATGCAAAACAAATAACAATCCTGCTGTTACAAGTCAACACTTCCTGGATGCTGTTAAGAAGTATGGTGGATGCCCCACATGTTGAGAACAGACAATGGGACTGAAAATGTCATAATGGCAGCAATGCAAACTTATTTTAGAACTAGTGGGGATGATGAGATGGCAGGTATCAATGCTCATCGGTATGGTTCCTCCAGTCAAACCAGCGGATTGAATCTTGGTGGGCATTTCTATGAAAAATCGCTCGAACTGGTGGATGAATTTTTTAAAGATATGATTGAGACAGGGCATTTAAATACATCAAGTGATCTAGACAAGGAATGTTTGTGGTATTGCTTTGCCAATTTATTACAAGAAGATCTAACAAGCGTCAATTGTCCCACTACATCCGTAAGTCAAGGTTTGACACAGTTGCTGGAAGACCAGATGAACTTTACTTTCTCCTGAATGCAATGGTGCACAAAATTATGCAAAGCAAGTGACTGATGCTCAATTTCAAGATATGTCTCAATATTGTCATGAGTATATGGAAGAAAATGTTATTCAAGAATATTATTGCACCATTGGAAATGAACTTGGTATGTCTCAACCAACACATTGAGAAGAGCATTGAAATGTACCATATCTTACGTGGAATTGCCCAAAGCTGAATTTATTTTTGAAAAAAAATTTTTGAATTTAAATTTTTTTAATTTTTTTTTTTTTTTTGGCACACCATTTGTAAATAATGTCTGTAACATAACTCTGCAAAAGTTTAACTAAATCCCCAAAACAAGGGACACATTGTTATTCTTCCTCACAATTTACTAAATATTCCTCCATTCATTAAAGCTGTCAAAGCAATGGGCCAGGCTACAATCTAGTGTCTTCTTGTTCACATACAAATGCAATGAGTTGGAACAGGTCTGAGCTGATGGTATCATCTTGCCATCATCATGAACAAATGTGATTGTTGGTTTAGGTACAAAGCCAATAGTAGGTACGTTGGTTGCACCAGTTGCAAATAGAAGAATATGCTTAGGAGTTGCTTCAGAAGCAAAGCTCCTCTTCTTCTGTCAACTCGATTCATCATGTAAGTTTCCAGCAAACTTCCATCTATTAATAGTAATATGTAATACATATCATATGACACAGAAATATACAGAAAAAGACACTTATTAAATCTGCCATTGCAAAAGCAGATGCTTCGATCTGGGACAGATCACATTGTCACTCACCTTCCATGGACTTGATGAAGGCGATAAATTTAGCCATTATTATTTCTTGTGGTTCTCTAAGATGGTGACCAATTGGAGAAAAATTAGGTTTCATGATTTTTATCAGCTTGCTGCCATCCATCTTTTCCTCTGGATTGTACTGGAATAAATCATTGAGTTCTATAATAACTGGAGGGGAAACGTCAACAAAATTAGTATAAATTATTAGCGCGCGGCCGCATGGTCAAAAACATGGCGGATTTTGGTGGTCAAAGTCAGCGGAGAGACGCGGGCTCATGAAATAAAATTTTTGTCGCCCACCCTGATTTGACCACCACGATTGCGAGTATAGAAAATATCAAAACTATTTATTTTCCTAACATAAACACTTTTTTTTAAAATTTTATTTATTAAACCGTCAACTTCTGTGGTTTGCGGATGCTGAAATAGCGACAGAAAAGGGAACATTTCTTGACTCCGGTAAGTAGCACAGTATTAGTTTTACTATTGTGTTTTTAACACGATACTTGAAGAGTGTTTCTACTACTAAGTTTTAATTTAAAGTTATTTTGGTCCAGTCTTGTTTGTTCTTCACTTAATCGCTCGCCAGACGTGGCGAAGCTGTCAATTTTTATCGAGTTTTGCATCCATCTTGTATCATGATCAAGGCATCAAGCTAAACTCTCCTGATTTGAATTGAGTTTACCTCCCAAAAATGGGGCATAATTTGTTCATGTTTTTTTTTTGAAAAGATGAAGGGAAAGTTTACAACAGAGTTGTGTTGAAATTGAATGCAGTGCCATGCAAAATTAATGAGAACTATGGTATATGTTGTATAATAAAAATAACTGTTAAACTGTTTGCCTGCTCAATTTGACTGACTGTATGTTGTAGACAATTATAATGAGATTGGAAAGTTGGATTTATGCTAACAATTTTAAAGTACTACTTAGCGTTTCTGTAAAGGAAGTATTTATTGTTATAGTAAACAGATTAATACTTCAAAACCAAGATGAAAGTAGTGTGTTGAACAATGTGCTAAGATTTGTTTCTACCTTGAAATTGTTTCTAACAGTAGCTTATGATTTTATCATTAATATGCATGAAAAATTAAACGTATCATTGTCTCATCTCATTAAATCCATAATTGGTATGATTCCAGGTGATCCACAAATTCACATCGGATGCATTGGTTACAATGAAGTTGAATGTAGAGGAAGCAAAAATAGATGGCAAAGAAATTCTTTGTGTCTTGTGAAGAATTAGTAGAAATCAATAAAAAGAATTCTTTAAACAAATTGTAAACAAATTTAAATTTGCTCATGGTCAAGCAACCTAGTCAAAGAAGCAAAGTCTGTCTTCAACATGCGACCTTTCCAATTATTTAGTTTCTTTGTACAAAATACTATTTTCGAGAAACTTGATTTGTGTCTTTCATTAATATTTTTTACCAAGAGATAAAAGGAACTAATTCAAAGGCTTGATGTAAAATACAAAGATTTAACAAGTTGTTTATCATTTAATTCCCAAATGTTAGTTTGTACATATAAATAATTAGTATTGGTAGCTGTAAGTTGTTTAAGCAAAACAGAAGAGTAGTAGTGCTCGAAGGGGTTAGCATTTTGAAAAATTATATCTTGTTCATGACATATATTACACAATTCCAAAAAACTGTAAGTAATGCACAATAATATCTATAGAACTTGATAAATTTCTTCACCAACACTGTCAGATAACTATTTTGCCTTCATGCAGCAATAGACAGTGTTTTTGTCAGAGAAACCAATGCACTTTAGTTTCCAAGTTTGTAATTTCAATGGAAAATTAATGTAGTTCTGTTCAGTAATAGATCCAAGATTCTGCCAAGCTGTTTACAAAATACAAATTACCAAGCAACATGTCATGGTGTTTGAATTTTTTCTTGTAGCTCTTCTAGTTCAACATACTTTCTTTATGAGTTTTCAGTAGATTTATCAGGTAATGACAATACACTTATGATACTTAACCATGGTAAATTTTAGTTGACTTATGTCGTAGGACTGAAGCAAACATTTTCTCCTTCCTTAGGAGCATTTTACACAGATTTATCCATTTGAAGCAAGAAAATAGGTGCACCAACTGTTGACAAACAGTCAAACACACAAAAGCATGAAATAATGTATAAGTTTGACGAGATTGACAGGTCTAGTAAAGAATGCCGTTTGACTTTCACTTTAAAAGGCTAAAATGTCATAAAATAACTTAAATGTTACATCCAAAATATGCGTTCCTCTACCGTCGATCTTCTTTATTTTGATGTGTGTCTGTACTGTGTTTTCACGCAATGCTGAGCATTATTTTCACATGATATGCTGTCGGTATCGTAATTGTTTTTTCTCACTTGTTTTCGTCCATACAAACAGTATTAGAAATCAGGAGGGAGTGAATATTGAAAAAAATTTTTAAAGTGGAAGTTTTGACCACCAAAATCCGCCATTACCGCCATGTTTTTGACCACGAGGCCCAGGCCCCTTTGCCCCTCCAGGTCTTATAGAGCTCAATGGAATAAATAGTTTGCCATTCCTTTATTAGCACGGACCAGTTGCAAAACCTTTGAATAGGAAAGGCATTTTACTTATAGTATATAGAAATCAATAATTAATACTATTGCAATATTCAGTGCTAATATCTGCTGTGTATATTATTCAATGTATTAACCAATAATACATGACTAGCATTAGTTTCTCTGTTTTGCTTTGTTTTACATAATACCCCAAAGTGCTACTACTATAACACTATTATGGAGGCAGGCAAATAAAATAAAATTAAACTAAACTTTGAATTAAATATACGACACCACATACATCATAATAATTGAGGCCTTCAATGAGCTGATCAAGCATTGGTTTGCATTTTGTGATGATGAAGTATTTGGTGACCTCCTCAATGAACATCAGCTTATCTTTAATTAGGAGGGTTTGGGACAATCCATCAATGTCATATCTCCACTCACTCTCAGCCAAAAAAGAATCAACACCCCCTTGATCCTTTGCAGCTTTCAGCTATAGTAATAATGAAAACAATTGTTGCCAAAATTGTTTAAAAAAAAATTAAGTTTCAAAGAATTTAAGTGTCAATAAAAATTGGCAAATTGGTTTCTGCCATGTGATGTCGAACATTTGATACCTTTAAAAGAGAATCTCTAATGTTCTTGTCAGGTAGCTCATCTATATCTGGTGTACAGCTGCCAAACCCTGCCTCAATATATTGGCAAACAGATATGCTAAATATTCGTGGCAATTCTCCACCTTGCACAACAAGTGTAGCCAACATGTGTCCAACAGCCAAAATGTTCCTTGATTCAAGGCTCCAACATTGCAGCAAATTACACAACCTGTTGGCATGCCTACAGAAAATTTATATTTAGCCAATAAAAATAAAGTGGCACACTCTACAACCAGGCTACAGACTGAAATGAAATCAAAACTTGAAATTTAGTACACAACATTTCCAAGTCAAGAACTTTAATTCATAACTTACTACACATTATTCCACTGTCTCGTGCAATAGCTCCAAGAAGTAGATGGAAGAATTCTCTTCTTGGGCCACTTTGATCTACGGCATCTTCCTCTTCAAATGTAGCAAATGATACTTTCAAAATGCCAACGGAACTAAGGAAGCCTTTCCTTCTAAAATATGGTAGCGCAGTTCGCCATATGCTTAATCGGCTAACAACAATGTTTCGAGGGTCTCCTTGAATTTTGTTTGCTGCATGCTCTTTAACTGCATTCAAGAAACCATCACTTGTGAGAATTTCAGGGTCAGTGATAGCATCACCAACTGCATCTTCCACATCGACATGCATAGACAAGCTATTACGTATGGCCTGTTGCACAGCAGCATTCTCATCAACTCCAACTGGTCTAATAACAAAAGATTTCATAGATTTAATACAACCAACAGTGATTGCTTTATACACAATAAAGTAGTAAAAACTTAGTCATATTACATGTTACACTTACAAAAAGTCCGTCAAAGCATAGGATGTTGCAACAGCTTCCCCAGACCCATTTCCACTGGATTCTGGAGATACTGCCAAATTTCCATTACAATTTTCAGGCACTTCTTCTTGTAATTCACTATTGAGGTCCAAATCGTCGTTTTCGGTAAGTAGATCAGTGATGAGTACATCATTCGCTCTCACTTTCTGTTTTGGTGCTACAGGGCAAAGGTACAAACTTATTCTTGAGTACGCTTTCCCAAGTTCTTCTTTGTACTTGCCCATCACGAATTCTTCGTCCCCACCAGGAATTGTTCGTGCCAATTGACCATCTGGGTAAACAAGTACGTAACCTCTATCAGGGCAAAATGTTCTATCATAGTTAGCCCATTCGGTCAAAGATCTTTTAACAACTTGATCATACACCATGTCCGGTGTCACCTTCACAGGAAATGTTTTACCAAAAACCCGTCTTGGCGTATATGAATCATCGTGGTCGTATTCCATTAAACCTACTGTTATAAAAACATCAGTATTTTTTCGTGATGTTGCAGAGCGTGACTTTTTCCTCTTGGGCTCAAAATGCGACCGTCGTTCAGCCTCCTTGTTCTTCATGAAAGTAGACAAACTTGTACAAGATGAAGACGTGTTCGACGAAGTGGGGGAGTTCCCAGTCGAGTGAGTCACACAAGGTGATTTAACAGAGCTGCTTGAAGGCTCAGAGGTTCCATTGGATTTTTTCTTTCCGCAATTCGGGCAAAAGAAAAACGACGTCTCCATTCCATGTCCACAAAAGCAGCAAAACATTACAAACCAACGCAGATATTTTGGAAAGAAATCTAATATACACTGTCCCACTCTATTAAATATTCGACATATTGCCGCCCACAGTACAGTGCAAAATTCTGGGTTGCGGTAACTTTGTTTTTGCATTGCGATCAAATTTGTTTTTGCATTGCGATCAAATTTATTTTTGCATTGCTATCAAATTTGTTTTGCATTGCGATCAAATTTGTTTTGCATTGTTCGTGTTTTGCATCGCAAACAAAATCATTTTGCATTCAGCACATTATTTTGTATCAAATATATTGTTTTTGAATTTAAGGGAATGTTTGTGCATTGACAAATTAATTTGTGAATTGCAGATAAGGGCCACCGTAGTTTTCAAAGTTTCAAGCAGGAAATGGTCTTCGATGTTTATTCCCTAAAATTTGAAAAATCCACCTAGAACATCTTTGATATGCGACTAATCGATACAGCTTGTGTATTCTCGCCAGCTCCTCATCAGACAGGGGCCAGTTTTTTCTAGATACCGACACACGTCTATCTCTAACACACTTTCTGACAGCATATTGTCCCTAAATTCTTGGTGTGTTGTCAAGCAATACTCTCCTTGAGTTTCTGTTTGGCCTAGCAAAGCCTCATACTCATCGTATTCAAGTGCTTTTCGTGGCAACAAAACACTCGATTGCCTTTTGGCAAAGTACAATGTCCACACTTACACCAACTAAGAGTATGAAGGCGCCAAGCATTTGCTTTCTCAAATTCAGCATGTATTTCATCCTCCGACGAGGACAAGTCGCTCTGCTCACTCTCCTGTTCGGAACCGCTTTCTTCACTTGTTTCGGCCTTCATTTCAGGTTCATATTGAAGGGGCAGAACTTAGCCCGGTTGATTTTCGTGTATGTCATCCATTACAGCAAAAAACCCCGTAAAATATGCTTTAAATGTGTTGTAACGCAGTCAATCACAAAGTATATTGTATTGTTGTTTTGACTGCCTACCGGCCAAGACGTCACTACCGCTCGAGATAATTTTATCAAAATTTTATCCAAGATCGCGAAATTTATAAACTTTTGCTGCAAATATCTCAGCAATAAAATATTTTTGGAAAAAAATTTTGCTATTTTAGTTTTTAGACATTACAAAGGTTCAAAAATATGCCATAAAAATTTTCGTTGCCAATGTCCTTTAAGTTTTCAAATGGCGGTTGCCAAGCTACTTTCTAATATTGCCAATTACATTTCCAAATATGGAATGTTCGTTATGAACTTGTCAACTTAAGTTCACAAGTTTTGTACTTGAGTACTGAAGTTGTGAACTAAGTTGCGAAGTACTAGCAAACGCGAAAGTTCTTTGTACCCTGTAGACATTTGGCAATGAATCCGTTCAGTAAGCAAGGAAATCAAGCAATTCTAATCCGTTTGACGGCCCTCTAAGAGTGCCACATGTAATAAATTTACAGTAAATGTGGCACTAGAAGTGTATCGTTGGATTTCAAATGCAGGAGTACCCTGCATACTGTGCCCTCGACGTCTGTTGCCACTCGTACCAACTACAGACGACTCATCAAAGAAATGAATTCGGCTGCAATCAATCAATCAAATAATTGCTATCCATAACGCCCGGCCGTTCTGTCTCTCGAGTAATTTGACCTATTATCTTGTAAGTGTAACCAAGATCTTTATTCAAAGTTCTACTAATGGATGACCTGCTAGGTATGTTTGCTGTAAGGCAAACTTTGTTATTTTCTAGTTGTTGCTGAATCGCTTTTGCGTAAATAGATGGTTTATTAATTTTTTAGATATTCAGTGTATGCAATAATGTCATTTGTACGCGTGGTTCGAACATCAAGTTTGCTCTGGCGAGGTGCAATAGAGCCAGTGTTTATCCATAGATCTATTATATTTGATATAGTCTTATACGGTAGGTTTAATTGTTTCGAAATGTTTGTCAAACGCTCGTTATTTAACCACATTTCAAGTATTTCATTTCTTACTTCTATTGGTAAAGGTTTTCCTTGCTTACTGAACGGATCATTGTCAACTGTCTACAGGGTACATGGACCTTTCGCGTTTGCTAGTACTTCGCAACTTTAGTTCACAACTTCAGTACTCAAGTACAAAACTTGTGAACTTAAGTTGACAAGCTCATAACGAACGTTCCATATTTGGAAATGTAATTGGCAACATTAGAAAATAACTTGGCAACCGCCATTTGAAAAGTTAACTGAAATCGACACTAAGGAACGATAAATAACTCTTTATAAACAAAAGAGATAGTTTCTACTAACACAATCGATGTTCCTATCTGAAACAAGCAAATGGATTATGCAAATTAACAGTAATATGATGCGATAAGTCGAAGTTCATGCTACGATCTGGTTTTTGCAAGCATCTACTTTTATTCTTCAAGAATTGTTACCCTCACGTCAATGCTAAACCGACCATTTAAAATTTGTATTTTAAAATCACCTTCTTATCGTCAAAGTATATAATATAGATAAAAATAAGATTTGGCGGCTCTCAATTTTCACCAAAACTTTTCCATTTGTTTAAAGCTCGTTGACTGGTCCAGTGGAGAAGTGCAAAAAGATAAAACACCTCATGCAAATGGCTGAAGACTTTCTTCGAAGCTTAAGCTACAATTCAGTTTAAATAACTGCAGTGCAATTCCCATGATGAATGCATAATTTAGTTTTATTCTTGTCTTACTAATGTCGAAGGACTTCATTTGTTATTTTAGTCCCAACGTGTGATTGCAGACCACCTCTATGTGTTGAGTAACTATATTTTTTATAAAACACCTAGCTAAAATGAAATCATGAGAAAATTTGAAAATTTAGATTCCCTGGACGGCTCGAAACGACCGACGGCTCGATTCATGCTGTTGCTTGTTTCTATAACATTTCTTTATTTTACTTTACGAAAGTATTTACAATAAAAGTTATGCTTTGTTTATTTCCCAATCCTACTAGTTCGAATATCTTGAAATGCTTAGCTTTAACTTTCGTATTAGCGAGAGCGTACCAGCGACCGATAAGATTTCCGTTTTAAAACAACAGTAACAGGAAAATGACCCCTATAGTTTATGTAAATAACATGAGCATTAAGCAAGCTTAATAACTTAACTTCCTTGACTATCATAGCGTCGCCATAAAATCTTTCAAAACCATTTCGAAATCTATATGACAACAAAACTACAAATTTCCTCACAGAAAACATACAAATGTTTACAGAAGAGCAGGAGAAGCTCCATTCGTTATTATGTTTTTATCTGACAATCACCGAAACATGACCAAAACATTTAGCATCTTATCATTCCATAGTAGATAGTAGCGTATGCTCTATTGCTAATTTCATAAACTCGCAAAAGTTGTTGATCTAAAACTTGAATTTTATTTCGGAAATGTCCGCATCATTCGTGGCCGCAAGAAGATTGATAATTAAGGGTATAAATTTCAAAGGAAACTAATAAGGCAAATCATGCATACATGAATATTAGCCATTCCCAGTGATTGATCTTCCTCTAGCCGTGAGATTCTCGCGTTTTTACATGATTTACGAATATTCCATGCAGCTAAAGACATTATATTGGTATTAATAAATAAACCATTGAAAATGAAAAAGCATGATGTTACTTTATCTTTATCAATCAATAAAACTAAACTGAAGTTGCACAAAAGCAACGCCTGTGTTCAAGCATTCTTCAAATTTGTTAGCATTGGAAATACAAACAAATACAATGTGGAATCTCTTTCGAACACAATTTCCATATGTAGTTGGAGTTTGAGTGTGACAAAAATGTAGCAACTTTCATCGATTGGTCCAAATCCAAACTTTAAAAAGATAGCAATTTCTTATACATACGTAGCATACGTAATAACATACGCAATGACATAACATATTTTTCCTACATTTTTCCTATATTTTTCACGTCAATAACATGCGTAATTGCAAAAATGCTACAGAAATCACTTCGTTTAAGGTAGTTGTTCGTCGTGTCAGAGTTATATGTTGCAATAATTGGTGAAGAATAAGTAAAATGCTGTGCACTTTATTAAATTTAAAATTCTTACGAAATAGGAACCTGCTGTGTCTTGATACCAACAGCATCACCTTCAAAAAACTTGCACAGACATTAGAACAAATTTTTAGTGAACAATCTCCTCACTCTATTCGTCAGAGGTGCATGTAAGAGCAATGATATTTATAAATTTTTGCAATTAATGAATGAAAACGATTTCTTCAGTAGAAAATTTTTTATTAAGGAAAATAACCAAATACGCGAGCTCAACACAAACAACCACTTTGATTTATTATCAATGTCGTTAAAACTACATCTGTGTATAGGTCATAGCTATAGCCTATAGCTTTATGTTTTCTGTCAGTTTATTCTCGATTGTTTGTAGCTGGCCAACCGTGCCATTTTGAATGCTATTTTAAAATATTCCACTTCAAATGAAACTATTTAGAATATGCCATATATCAATAGCTACATGTAATCACAAATCATGTTGTTGCATGGGTAAGATTTGGCAAATTTACCTAGCCTAATCGATTCAACTATGTTCGACAAAAAGCCAGGTGCCAAAGCTCTTAATGATCACAAAAGTTAAAGTGATCTTACAGTGACCAATAGTAACATGACATTTGAGTCTGTTAACCTTTCAAAAATTGGGGCTGGTGTGATTATTTAACACTCAACATCTACAATGAACTATTTATGTTTACACTGTACATAAAGACTCTTTGCATTGCACATATACAAAATAAAACTGGTTTAGTTTAATTACGATATCAAGGCTAGAGAGACATTCGATCATTTCCTACAGTGGCATTACACTCAACAAATTAGACAAGGACTTATTATACACTAAACACTTGATGGTTTCTTTACCATAGGCCCTGCTTTGTCACTATGAACACGGCATTTTGTAACAATATGAGTGAAATGACCACTAAGATTTTAGATTACCTTCAGTTGAAAATAACCATATTAAACTACAATGATCATTTTGAAAATGCACGCCACATGTACAAAAATCCAAGTAAAAAATACGGCATAAATTTCACACGATGAATTGCTTGTTTGTGTAGATGAAATAATACCAATATCAACTAAAAGCCTATAAATGCAAAGTAAATGTGAATTAGGTTCAACAGAAACATTGAATACCGTACAAAGCAAGAGTAATGAAATTTATACACTTTTTAAGGACTTTCAAGAACATATATTTTGAAAAAGCAAGTGTAAATGTGTAAGACCTTAAATTGCATGCAAAAGCCGGCGCACACATTCTTCAACACATTACAAACTTAACAACAAAGAACTCTTTTAATGAATATAGAACAAATGATGCATCATGAATTTCACTTTAATAAATCCCTCCAATTATCAATCTTCCGACGGTCAATTATCATGCCGATATTTTTCCTAAACGGAATTTGACTTTTAGATAAAAAAAATGTTTGCAACTTTATCACACTAAATAACAAGAGAGCATTCGTGACCATCAACGATGTGAAAAATGAAAAGCTACTCTCTAGGTATGTATGTGGGATAGAATGCTGCATTTTCAGTCATGTTTCCGTGGTAGTTAAATAATAACATACATAACGAACAAAGTGTTCGAAGCGCTTATGAAAAGATTTGTACATGTTCTGTGAGAGGATTTAATGTTTTCTTGTCGTAGAGATTTCTAAGTGATTTTGAAAGTTTTTGGTAGCGACTGTTTGTTTTTTAGGGCAATTTAATTAATTAGGCTTTCATAGATAACATTGATTATGAATGATGAGTTCGCCAAGCTTGTTTCGAACCGTTTTTAAGAGTTTTTGTGCCAACATTTTGATAGTAAACGTAAGTAAAGTAACTTGTTTTAATTGATGTTCAGCAGGGTCACTTCTGCTCTTACCGTTGTTTTGAAACGGAAATCGTTTATTTTGCCTTTGTGCTCTCTGTTTTACAACAGTTAACATGAACAATTTTCAGCAACCTGTATTTTTTTACGTAATTGCAACAATTTTACGGAAATTACTCCGTTAAAGGTAATGGTTGGTTGTATTAGTGTATGATGAAATATTTATTAGTGAACATGAGTACGATATTCACTTGAATAAATTAAAATTCTTTAAATAAGAAGAGCCCGGTGGGGCTTTTCATTGCGATTGTTCGTTTATATTTAGGAGGGACTTGTAGAGGGCGTATATTTAGGAGTGTCTGAAATGGGAAAATGACTAACAACCATTCAATCAATAACTCATCGTTAATATCACAGAACTGCATCTTTATATATGATTTACATTACTCAGTCAGTCTAAACTGGATGGTTCGTAGCCAGCGCCCTCGGCCAGTTCAAATCATGCCATTTAAAAAAATTAATTTCTAATGAATTCAACTATTCAAATTATGCTATTGCACATTTTTATGCGACTAGTTTATTTTATCGTATTATATTAGGTTGTGTGCTTTTTGCAAATATTTTAAAAGATATAATCAATCATAGTGACCCAAAGAAGCGAATATTTACCTTCTGCTTGACAGTTTGATTATAAATATTTCACAAAATGAAGACTAAAGCGTAGCCCAGTGCCCCTCTGCAATCTTGGGATTTTTAAGGACAAAATATAGCCCGTGACTTTTACCAGCGACACGCAGTTATTAGTCAGGTTCTATTTCAACTTTTCCTATTTCATCAAATGATTTTATTCCCCATTGCCCGATTAAATTCTTTAAAATGGAAATTACCTTTGAAGGTATTTCGCAACAAGCCAGAGGGTGAAGCTGAGGAATTTTGACTAAAGGGCGTAATTTTATTCAGTTTGCATGCGGTTCAGCTGGCTATCTTCCAACCAATTTCAATACCGATATATGTTAAAACTGCAAGTCAACAAAATCTTTCACAGTTGGAGTAAGAATCATTCTATCAGGAAATCAAAATCCTTTAGGTATTGTAGAAAATTTATCTTCGCTGAACTATTTATGTTTATACTGTACATAAAGACTCTTTAGCTACATTGCATAAAAACAAAAAGGTTTATTTTAAGATAACAAGACTATAGGGACACTAGATCATTTCTTACAACGGAATTTCAATCAACTTTTCCTATTTCTACAAATGATTTTATTCCTCATTACCCGATTAAGTTCTGTAAAATATTAATTATCTTTGAAGGCATTGCGCAACAAACCAGGGGGTGATGCTGAGGAATTTCGACTGGTGGGCGTAATTTTATTTAATCTGTGGAAAAGATAGTCTGATAGTCAAAAACTAAAATAGTTACAAAAAGAGCCACTCTATCAGGGAATCAAAGTCCATTAGGTATTGTGGCGAATTTAGGGCCTACTTTGGTAAATGGTGACATGCAGTTTAAAACACCAACATTTAAAATATGCATTAAAAACCAAATTTTACTCCACGGAAGAGCGTGTATAAACTATTGTAATTTTGTATTATAATAAGCACAGAACCTAAAAGCGAGCAAAACAATTTTCGTTTCAAAAATAACAGTAGAAACAAAAATATCTCCAATAGCTTTTGTAAAATAACTGAGCATCACGCAAGCCTAATTATTTAACTTGCCCTGACGATCAAACAGTTGCCATGAATATCTTTCAAAATCACTTCCACATCTATATAACAAGGAAACACTAAATCCCCTTACAAAAACGCGAAGATTTCGTTCAATATTTTCGTGATTATTCCGCAATCAGCGAAATGTGACTAAAACACTTCACATCTTATCGCTCTGTACTACATTGTAACTTTTCATTTTTTATATGGTGGATAATCGGGAATGCTCTTTGTCAAATAAAGTAGCAAATGTTGTGATTGAAAACTTCAATTTTCTTTAAAAATATTGATATGATTGATGGCCGTAGGAAGATTAAAATAGGAAGATTCGTGTTCAAAATGTATGTTATAATCCGCATAAAACAATGAATTTCAAAAGTAATGAAAACAGCATATCCTGCATATATGAATATCATATGCCAATCATCAATCTCTCGCGATCCAGCGATTTTTTTAGTTTTACAGCCGGTGTAATAAAAGACATTATACAGGTTATTAACAAGTAAAACAATTAGGCAAAGTAAAGATTGAAGCAAGATGTTACTTAACATTGAAGTGCTAAATCAACATTAAAATCAACTGCTTTTGAATAAAACCATCGCATGTGTTCAGGCATTCTTGGTATTTTTTGTTATGAAATTCAAACAAATACAGGGTGTATGATCTGACCAATGGTAATGAAATCACTCCATGTAAGGTAATGGTTGGTGGTCAATTTTTGGTGTTGCAATAATTGTGGAACAATAAATATGCTATGCATTTTACTAATTTTAAGCTTCTTGCGAAATATGAGCCTGCTGTGTTTTAACGTTCATGTTGGGGGAGGGACTTATGCACTCATAAAAGCATTTGCAACGACACAAACAGCCTCACTTTAAAAAGACTTGCAGAGATATCGGGACAGATTTCTGACGAGAACAATCTTCTCACTCCAGCCAACAGAGGTGAGTGATAAATGTACATATTATATTTATAAATATTGCAATAAACGAATGAAAATAATTGCTTAAGGAACAATGAATATGATGTAGGAAAATGACTAAAAACCATTCAAAATAAGCAATCGGTAATTTATCGTGGATATCACAAAACTATATCTTTATGTCATTTATGTTACTCTGTCAATCTAAACTTAATGGTTCGTAGCCTGTTCACACTGCTATTTAATATCAGGTTACTTCAAAACAATTTCTAATAAATTATTTAAATATTCAATTTATGTTGTTGAAGCCATTTCTAAATTTATTTTATTATAATAGGTTATGCTTTTTACAATACTTTTTAAAAGATATAATTAAACATACTGACCGAAAAGAGCGAATGTTCACCTTGTGCTTAGCAGTTTAAAATATTTAATATTTCACACAATCAAGACTAAAGCCTAACCCAGTACACTTCTAACATCTTAGGATTTTAAAAACTTTCACGCAACCTAACGTGATTTGAACATCCGATGGTTCCTGTGACACGCTATTATTAGACTGCTCTGATTCGTTCTACTTCATTAAATGAATCTCATCCTCATTATCCGATTAAGTTCGATTTAATGTAAATAATTAAACCACTAACATTCGAATTTCGTATTAACAGTAAAATGTTACTCAACGCATCCGAAAGTCAGGATGTGCGCGTTTCTTTTTAACTATTGTTTATTAAAGAGAACGGAACCTAGAAGCTAAAACGATTTCATTTCAAAACACCAATTGTTGATGTATTGATAAATTAGTACATTCAAGGATAAACATTGTTATGGTTAATACTTAGGGACATAAGAGAACATTAAATGAATTTCAAGTGATCAAAACGTATATTGATGCCACCAAGTTATATTGTTCCTTATCTAAAGCAAACTTTCTTTCTTCAATAAACGTAACTATTTCATTAACAGCTAACACCAGTACAAGCAAAAATATCTCTTAAAGTTTTAAGCAAATACATGAGTATCGTGCAAGCCTATCAGCTCAATTATTTATCCTGCCTTAACGATCAAAGAGTCGCATAAAAACTGCCGAAATCACTTCAAATTCTCTACGACAAGAAAACACAAAATCCATCACCGAACGTAAACAAAACTTTTCAGAAGTGCAGTCAACATTTCGTTTGTCATCTACCGTAAATGCTCGATTCAGCGCCGCGGTGCTCACCTAATTTCATTTTTCTGAGTGCGGCGCTTATCCGGGAGCGGCGCTTAAGTGGGCGCCTAGCCCTATTTAAATAATTTTCTACTAAAGGCTCACACCAAATATTTTTATTGCCCTCCAAAAATGATAATTAGACAAAATCTATTTACTTCATACAATAAATCAAAATCAAAAATCAAAAAATTATTTAATATTAATACATCTTGCAGTTTTTACAACTGAATTACATGTATTATACACAATTATTACTTATAGTTACCATAATACAGTTATTTACATTCATTAAGATTAATAATAGTAAAACTTAAATGAAGTTAAATTAAAGATGTATTACATAAGCAGATTGAATGTACAACCTATGGGCAACGTACAATTTAAAAGATATGTTCGTTTGAGAAATTCGGAATAAAAGAGTTTTTAAAACAATTTGTGCAATATTTAGTTGCATTAAATGTTTTATTTGTCTTTAGCTGATTATAAATGCTATAAGTTCTTTGAGATAATAAATTGTAAAGTTTGTGATTCTTATCCTTCACTATATCATGTTTGTAAATGTAGATCGTCCAGATTGGTATAGTCCTGAGAAGGACTGTTTTTGTTGTTGTTGACTGACGTTTCGACAACCTTAGCGGTAGTCATCTTCAGAGTCAAATGAGGAGTAAACGTCAAGTTAGCTGTATTTGTTATGTGGTTCTTACGTCATTGTATTATGCGTACAGGAAATGTGTATTGCCATTGTGAATTAGTGTTAAGTGAAATGTTTTAGTTGATCGTTTGTTTGATCACACTAATTCACAATGACAATACAGAATTGACACCCACACATTACAACTAAAAACATCACACCCAAATCACTCATCACAACTAAAAACATTTCACTTCACACTACTTCACAATAACAATACACATTTCCTGTACACATAATACAATGATGTAAGAACAAGATAACAAATACGGCTAACCTGACGTTTACTCCTCATTTGACTCTAAAGATGACTACCGCTAAGATTGTCAAAACGTCAGTCAACAACAACAAAAACAGTCCTTCTCAGGACAATACCAACCTGGACGATCTACATTTACGAACATGTAACGATACTCCCGAGTTCAAACCATTTACTTCACTATATCATTAAAGAATCTCCTACTGAGAGATTTACGTCTGTCAAATAGGATCGGAATCAGGGGCGGATTCATAAATCGTCGGAGGCTCTCCGCACCTCAGGAGGGGTCCGAGGCATCCTCCCCTAGGAAATTTTGAATTTCAGAGCCTTGGAAATGCCATTTTCAGCGTTGTAGAGGAATACAAAATGTATTTTGTGGGCATCGTTTTGCGTAGATACAAAACATTTTGCTTACGTTTTTTTCAAAAAAAATGAAGTGAATAATACTTGAATGCTTTGCCAAATATTTAGGCTCATTATCTTGCCAAAAATATGGCTAAATAGCATGTCTAGGAACATAAAATTTAATTTACAATAATGCTATTCCAAAAAAGATATTGTTTTTGAAAATTTCTACCAAGTTGTCAGGTATAGACCACCCTAGAGACCTCCATTCAAACCTCTATATAATAAGTTAAGTTAGAAGCTTGGTACTAAAAGAGACAGTTCATAGATGTAGAAAAGCTCAGACTTCAAACCAGGCAAGTTTATTGTAACCCTTTACCCATCTCCACATACAGGGCAGCAAATTCACCTTTTGAGAAAAAACTCAAATTTTTTTCTGCCAAAGATTAAGAAAAAATTATCAGAGTGAAAATTTGCTATTAAGGACAGCTTTATGTCATTAATGTTTATTAGGCATCTCACTAGACTGTTATCTTCTGTAAGTAAATGCAAGGTGTGCTATATAGCAATCATCAGTAGCATTGTATTTGCCAATACAAACAGAATGCAACCAACATGCCTTCCATCATATAGTTACATGAGTGTTAAAGTTGGTTCATGTGTTATGCTTACTTGTTATGATAAATTTCCAATAAATATATGATCAAAGCTAGTTTGAATGTAAGTCTGAAATGATTTAGTTTAGAAATTATAATGACCATCAGAGAAATTACCTAGTGATCATGAAAAATACTTTGCTGTTTTACCAAATTTTGAGGTTTATCTGCATGTATAGGAACATATTTTTACTTTATAGAAAATGTTTTTCATACATAAATAGCCCATTGGAATTTATGGCAAACAATCTTGTATGAGCTGTAGATCAACACACCTTGACATCTCTACATGAGATGTTCAGTTAGAAAAGGGGACAATATGTGACAAGGGACAACATTTCATGTATGTGAAATAATTAGTTTAATACCATTCCAGTCAAATCATCAAAATAAAAAGTTTCGTGGATCAGAAAAGACTCAAAATCACAGGTTATAGCAAACAGCTTCTCATGTAATCAATGTTAGTTTTCTCATATCTTAAACAATGTGTAGTATAACAGTCTAATGATTGAATGATAAATGATCATAAAGTGTAAAGCCCCAAACATTTGTTTATGATAAATTAAATAATAGTATGGCACCCTATGGCTATAGATTTTTTGTCCATTGAAATATGTTTGCAGGAATGTAGGATGTACCCACAGCTTTACACACTCGCATAAATTGACTTTGATATTTTACATTTATGCATACACTTCAGTTGTCCGTTACTTATGACTTTGGATGTAAATTTCTGCTGAGAAAACTCAAAACAATGTTGGCTTGCTTTTGAACATCATTTACTGAAATGTCGCTTGCGAGATCGTCTTTGCCAAGCATTTACAATTCATCCATAAATTTTCACCCTCTTGAAAAATTCACAGTTTGGATACCATAATTCATGTCAATGTATGAATTTGTACAAGATTTCCATAAATTCCATCTGAGTGTAGTTTAGTTTTTATCATGCTTTAGAAAATTACTATGAAACGATCAAACATTCAATTTAGACAGTGAGCTTGAATACGTTAGTTCAGTTTGCTATCAATCAAAATCGGTCAAACCAATCATAGTAAGACAAAATTTAAACGAACCAATTACACGATAGCAATCAGACTCTCTTATCGGTCCAGCCACCCCACTTATCGGTCGAGATTATTCCAGATCATCCACTGATCTGGCTATTCACCAATTGAATGGCTTAAATAAGCGCTATTGAACTCCATTATCGGTCGAACCAGTCGAGCCACCCGACTTATCAGTAAGCCAATTAATATAATTCTAGATATGTTTTATCTACTGATCTGTTTACTAAGGTGGTGTTTGTGTATGTTTTCATACATAAAACAGAATTTTGACGATGAAATCGAAACGATTACAGAACGAAAATTTAATGACCAAAAAATTGTAATGATTAAATTTGATAAATAATTTTGAACTATAAACATAAGTCACGTGAGTGATTTGACATACCCTAGATCCGCCCCCGGTCGGAATATAAGCTGCTGTTAAGGCATCTTTATAATGTGCTCAGGAAATATGATGCCCATGGCTCTCTTTTGTAAACGCTCTAAATCATCAGATAGATATTTTGGTAGAGCAGAGTGAAATACTTGGCAAGAGTACTCAAGAATTGATCTTATTTTAGCGCAGTAAAAACAAACAAGGTCTTTTTTATCTACATCAGCCCGTTTCAACTGCTTAATGAAATATAGACGTTTTGCTGCCTTTTTAGTGATAACATTTATGTGGTCGTTCCATTTCAAATCATTTCTTATTGTGAGTCCCAAAATTTCAACATTTTGATATCTACATGTTTGTAAATGTAGATCGTCTAGGTTGGTATAGCCCTGAGAAGGACTGTCGTGTTGACGGTAGT